GGCAGTTAGTAGACGCTGCTGCTTTCGCCAATATAGGACCGATGTGATTACCATTTAATCATTGTAACATTCAATTTTATTAACTAGCTAAAACGTAGCGTAGTAACATTTCCTTCGATTTTTTTCGAGCTGCTCGTGACAGATACCCCACTGAATTTATTTTCTGAGAAATAATAAGAAGACAATATCATGCACAAGTCGGTAACTTAATTCAATTTATTCATGCGACGATCCGATACTCTTTAGCCATGCTCCGAAATGCACTTGAAGCTGTTTATTAACCATATAACCCCCAAGTTCGACTGAAGTATATTGGTTCATCGGTTGAGATTGTTTGAGGTTTTATATATGTATACATATACTTGAAGTGTAAAAATACGAGTTTCCATAGAAAAAAAAAAACAAAGAACGAATCAACTGCAAAAGCCAGGTTATCGCAATAGCGTAATGTTTATCAAAGTTCTAGTAATATCAACAAATGACAAAAATGAAATAAACCGTAATGAGACGGAATCTGTGTTTCCGTCTCACCGCATCTGTGCGTTCGCCGTTGGCATACAATTTGTGTTTATACAAATAGATGGTGACCTATCCTTACCTTGAATTCAACTGACTCATTCCCTTGTGTACTCATCTCTGTACGGCATGTTAGTCGCTTTATGATGGAGCCCCTTGGAAGAGGATGAGCTACGGGGAATCGCTAACAGCGTCGCCGATAGAGGTGCTATCAAAGCTCTATGGCCTTCTGGCGTTTGTTTAACTTTGGAGGCGCATTGTGGCTCACCAGCTTCGAGGAAAACTGTTCCAATATCATGTAACGGTGAACTGTATACCGTTTGTGTGAAGCCATACACGTTTGCCGAAAGCTTTACATTGGCAGGGTCGCAGCTGGGGCGCTCAAGCAACGTTATTGAATAATATTAGCCCTTATCGCCTATCGCTAATGGTTGCCGTGCTGGTATAATGCTAATTGGGTTATTAATTAGCGCGGCAAAGGGTCCGTAATAACGGACATCGTATCTTGTGTACTACACATACTTCGCCATGGCCAAATTAGCAGAAGAAAAAATCGAATGTCTACTCTAACGTATGTTAAATAAAATGGTAAATTGTATTTGTAATGGCCAGCAGTATTGCAGTAACGATGAGAAGCCCCGCGGCGTATAATATTAACACGTTGGATCCGTTCGCCGGTAGTATGCACAATCGTCGCTTTGTCCTTATCTCTTTTCGACGTCGTGTTCGTTGCAGCATTTTTTTACCGAAGAAAATTATGCGTTGTGCGTTAGGTCTATATTTCATCCTTTGAGAGGTATTGATAAACCCAATTGTATCGACATCAGTTCATACGCCGAGGGTGCAGCGCCAAAAAGAAGCATTGCTAGCCTTTCCTTGTAACGTTACGCGAACTATTCGAATGAAGACACTGAGCGCCGCTAAGCTTTCTTTCGATAACGCATTTAATTTTGTCGATTGTATCTGCCGGTGTGGACTGCTCTCACCACCGTTTCGACGCGGCCATATTGTCATTACTCTTACCCCGAAGGGCTTTCTGACTTAAGCGAATTATCTTCTAACAAATCGTTATGGAGCCAGTTCAATTGTTACCTTGCAATTAAGAGAATTGTTCTCTCGTCCCTTTTATTATTACTGCAGAGTTTGCCCCGCTGGGTGGTTTGGCAGAGATATAAATAGATGCCACAGGCGGCCAACGTTTCCTCAAAACGCTACATGCATAATTCAATTCGACAGTTGAAACATTCTATTATGTAACAACAAAATCCACGCCCCGTATATGCTACAGGTCATCCTGCCACAACGTAATAATACTGAAACTATATCTATACGGCCCTTATATCTCCACTTCGAAACGCTGAAAACAGCTAATGGATCGCTAACAGCCTGCTCCGCTAGCCGCGTTATGGGGCGCGTTTCGAATCGGGTCGTGTCGCACAGGGCCCGTCGAATAGCAGTAAGCTTATGTCTATGGACATATGCACATTTACAAGATGTTGAGATCGATTATTGTAATGCCTAACGTCAGGTTTCTTCGTCGGAATTTCAGCCAATGTGGTGACTTTAACGGCTTTATAATAAAGATGGCTAACATCCTCTTCGCTTTTTTAGCTCGCCTGATTTCCTATAGCCTTTGCCTAGTTTTCCTAGCTATAGTTCGCACTTGGTGCTGAACTAGTGTATGTATATACGTGTATGTACAAACACAAACACAAACAGGCCACTCTCGTACACTTTATCAGTGATTCAAACAGTGCCTATGTCGAGTCTCGGACAAGTTCAGGCCGCGTAGAATTTGTACGAGTGCATTCATCTGGTTTGACTACTGAAGTAGCACATAGGGAGAAATCGGACGACGAAGTGTCGCGTAACTATGCAAGGAAAAACTGCTCAGATTTGAGGTCAAGGCCCTACTTGAAGCGCAGGAATAGGGCTGTTTTTTGGAAAACAGAGTTGTCTTACCGCACGTGTCAAAGAGCTTTCACAGGGGGCTTAATACTGAGCAGTTCGGTGCCTATCTTCGCCCAAACAGGGAAGCTCAATACTAGTTCGTAAGCCTACGTAAACATCTGTGATATCGATTCGTTGTGCTGCTGAAGAACTACGATTGAATTAACTGTCGCCAATGAAAGAATCGCTTTTTAGCGAAAAATTTCCTCCATTGAACACAGCACTAAGTGCAGACCGACTCTCCTTTTCAAACTGTGCGATGTATCACGCAGCTCACGTATTTTTGAAAGTTTCTGAGGTTGAAAGAGCATCCGAAAATAAGCGGAAGGAAGGATGTCAACTGAACTTACGTTGATTGATGAAAGTTGCTCGAACCTGCTCAATATAGCGGTTGCTTAAAGAAGTAAATTTCTAAAAAAGAAAAACGCAAGGTTTCGTGGTAAACGTTAGTATGCCGGACTTGGATGGATCCTATCAGATTGGCTTCCCTTCTTCCCTTCATTTTCAGCACCCATATCATTGAGGAATTATCTGATCTAAAATCGATCACGTTGAATCCTGACGATAACTTAGTCGCATCATTTCTCCGCGTAATACAACGATGCTCGACTTTATTGAAGACTTCTGGTTCTTCTATGTAAAGTGTTTGGATACGACTCAGCCTTGTAGCGTCACCATCTTACCCAAGACATGTAGCTGTTGTAAAGAACTCAATAAGTGAGAGCCACTAGAAGCTGAAGTTCAACTTGCGAACTGCCGTTTCCAAGTTCGGCAGAAGAGAATGGCTACCACAAATTAATGAATTAGAAAAGTGCCAAGGACTGAAAGGCCCTGCATTATACGACCTTAAGGAACTTAAGTGGTCTATAAGCGAAATAATTAAACTTAACTTTGAAGCTGTTGATCTCGGACACTCGATGACCAAGTAGATACATGGGCACGTTTTGCGCTGTCGTCAAAGATTTGCTAGTCGAATCGAAGCCCATTCGCAAAGAGCTTATGATTCGACCGTGTGGTCGAATGAAGACTTACTTAAAGTTACTCATGAGAAATAATATAGGCTCACTGATTAATTGTCTTCTGTGATACTTGGCTGCGGTTGTTTGGCGCCATTTTACTAAAAACACATTCAAACGACGTCCGGCACTTTGTCGTCATCCTAGCAGAATTTCTTCTCAGTAATCTTCAGACTATTTGAAATAGATATGAAATAATTCGTATACGGTGCATATATATATATATATATATACACCGTATGGGGTATAAATAACATATATATATTATTTGGGGATGATCAAGAACACTAGATGTACGATTAGCATTGTTTATTGTTGCTAAACTTGTTGCGACGAGAAAGCTCAACAATATTAAGCTAATGTCCCCATTTTCGGGTTTAAACATTTCAAGCACTATCCCGGTACCTTAAATTGCTGAACAGCAAAAATCACTGCTGAACCTGATGTCAGTGAACCTGATGAAGGTGTCATTAATTAATTTGAAAGTTATGAATTAACAAAAATCATACTCATAGACTTTGATTGTTCACAAGTACTAATCTTGCGTAGGCTAAGTTTTGTATTACTTTGTAATGACAAGTGATGGAGCATATATTGATTACTAATTCTGTATAGAGAACCTTGTACTGCGCGAAAAGGGTTACAAATAAGTCTCTAACCATCTCTTCCGCTGAAGATTGTCCAAAAATATAATATTTCCATCCCTGATAGCAATTCTGTGCAAAAACAGCTTGCTTTCCCTTGTGCCCGGCTGTCAGATAATCACGTGTGGCTAAAAAACGTATTTTTTATCATTAATACACACATTCATAAAAAAAAAAACGCGTTTTTTTTCTTCTTTTTTTCTTGCGCAGCAATTCAAGGTTGTGCAGCGGCTAACCGTTCGGAAGCCTTTACAAGCACTGGGCTAAATGTTCAGCTGACAGGTCCGTCTTCGTCCACTCGTTTCGGGCGCGTTTCGACTCATTCAGTAAAATCTTCAGCACTGTTACGGTGATGGAGCCAGTTTCTGCAGACGCTATTAGATCCTGCTCTTGCCCTTTCCACTTCGCAAGCTGTCTTTGTTGCCCGAGCTACACTTTTTTCAGCAACGAAGTGGCGTTAAGGCGGGCAGTTTTGAATCACGGACATAAGTCTGCCGGATCACTTCTGTACCTGCTCTAGAAACCGACGAATTGCCGTAATATACCGTCTCTCTGTGGTACGAACTTGAGACATACATCATCATAAGTACCAGCATTAAAAGAATAAAATCAGGCCTGATAAAAGACCAATCAGTCAAAGAGGACGTTACCTGCTTCTTGGTAGATTAAAAATCAGTGTAATTATTTGTCGAATGTTTCGTATTATTGGTCACTTTTGTTTACGAAGCTTTTTCGGACTTTTTGTATATATATATATATATATATATATATATATATATATATATTAGCTTTTAGTTATCCGCGTAGAGAGGATTCATTCTGTTATTCAATAAACTTAGTTTAATTAGTTAATTATTAATTAATTTAGTTTTCTTACACTTCGTCGACATAAACGTTCCATATTCATGGCCGACATGTCAGCTGGCGTCTGCATCCAACACTATAACGATTTTGATTACCGGACCTTGAGCAGCAGAGTAAAGTCGATCATTAATACTGTGTTACACTCTCGTGGAGCAGTAACTTCGAACATCGAGCAAAACCGCCTCTAGGATGACTTCAAGATACAGGCACCGCGTATTGTGATGGTTACCGCGACCGTTCAACTGAAACTGCTAGCACCAAGCGTCTATGCGTTGTTAAGCTGAGGCAAGAGCGCCCCTTGCGTGCACGAATAGCAGTGTTGGGCAACCGTACACCTTGATTACAACAAAAACGGTTTCTGAAAAAATAGGGGCCGGGATAAACCGCATAGTATAGCATTCCCGTGCTACTGATTACTACAGAAGAGTATGTTGGTAAAAAGGCAGGCACTTCGTTGGAGTTTTATAGGCGAAGACAGTAGCTCATTGAGTTATGCTCAACAAGAGCTCACTAATTCATCAGGTTCGACAATGGCCTAAATGTGCTACACAGCATATGTGGTTAAATAAAGAGCGTTTTAATAATGGCAAAATGATTTATGGTCCTTACGCCTATGTTTAGCGATGGATATACCCAATAAATAGTACAAGATGTTCGATTCATTTGTTTTCGGGAGAACTTTTTGATTGGCGAGGTAATTAGTGATAAAGCACTAGGTTAATTTTCCAAGTGCACCATTATTTTAGCCTTTTTTAGTTTTAAGAAGCATATTATCATCTGAATTTGAAGAAAAGGTCCATTAGTCGTTGATACGATTAGAGCTCTCGAACTTCTATATGGAGCGAATGATAACGCAAAGGCATAGCTTCGAATCAGATCTGCGAAAAAGCTACCTGATGATCTACAATTCACAAGGACACAAGTTGGCAACTAAAAAACTTCCACTTACGTAACCTTTAGATGAACAAAACAACTATTATTTCAACACGTTTTCCACTAATTATCTATAAGTTGACTTGATATAACGTAATAGAATAAATCAGCCGTCACCAAATTAGAATACCTATCAACAAAAGCTTTCTGATTCAAAGGCTTTTGAACATTTAAACGAGTTTATAGTAAGCTTTTCGAAATTAGAATGCTCTTTGGACAGCAGGGGACTCAAGTTCGAAGATCACCTGCTCTCACTTACGCTGCGTAACTCTATCGATTGAGTATTTTGAATTCTAATCAGCTAAAATAGGATTACACACTGTAAAATATGTTGAATAATAATCCACTTCTCAGATCGAGGCCTAATCTTCACGTGTTGAAGGACAACGAAACTTGTCACGGGCATTTCCCACAACAGCCCAGAATGCGTATAGTGGTATCTAACTAGGGGCACAGCATCTTTAAGTATAGTTTAAACGCAGGTTATATAAATCAAGTGAGTCATTTACATAGTTTATTAGATATGGCAATAGCTTCGCGATTCAATATTAGTTTGCCTTAGAAAGGTTATGGGATTGTTGAGGCAGGCTGATAGATCGACTGAATCAAAGCAATAGAATTACTCTAATTTCATAGCGGCTACCGAGTAACACGATAGACAACGGGGTCTCAGGGAAATTGCAATCTAACAATTGTACAACTGTAGATCTGTAGTTTATTAGATCAGACGTAACACCAGTCAGATCGATCAATATGTTTATAAGTATATATAGCATCAGTCATAACGGTATTGGAGAATAGTGACCGGAAGGCGATCGGAAATAGCTGGATAATAACCATTGTTACAATTGAGTTGTATTGGAATATTTGTTTTGGTTCGGTGTCTTCCAATTGCTTAAGGCCACAGAGCGTTAAATATTAAGAAAAATCGCAATAGGTATAAAATAAAAGTAGATTATTTCTTTATTCTTTAGTAGAAGCTTCAACATGAAGCTACTTTATATAGATTTTAATGACCGTGCCTGAATACGCGTTATGAGAGCATGTCTTAATACTAAGTATTCTAGGCTCTGGACTGACTTTGCAGGATTCTATCTTAAGGTAGTTCATGAGTTGTGCGCGTATTGTGTGCGTAGCCTTGCTTTAGACTTGTTTTTTTGTAGTATAATATAAACCCTTCGAAAGCCATGTAGATTGCTAACTGCTAAATTATAATGTATCAAGCTTTACTTATGCAATCATTCACAAGCCAATCGAGTTTGACATTATATATGGCTACCGAAGTCTCTTCTTGAAGCTGTTCGTATGAGAGTACTTACTCAACCTACGTATTCTTAATTTCCATTAAAATACACCTTGATTCTACCTAACATCTAGACGTCTCGCTAAACCGAAGGTTTCAGACGCAGTTCCTATCTAGCCGTTTTTTCGTACATACAGTCTCAACGAACCTTTTATGTTCTTCGCCTTCTGTTCGCAACCTTTCAACTATAATCCGAAAAGCTCGTTATGCTGAACTGAAAATAGACTCCTTGCTTCTAGTTCATAAGCTCGTGTCCCATTTTCATAGTTCGGCTCTCCCACAATCCCCCGGGCGGACTGAGAAAGTCGTGGGACAACCCGCTGAAATTTACCTTGAGAGCACAGTCAGGGTCGGCTAATACATCGCGTGCATAACGAATTATTTAAATATCGACGAGCTGGACCAGGAAGAAGCTTGGTTTGCTAGTGCCGTCGTGGGCTGCCGTATCTGTACGACGTAATAAAGGATGCATGCAAGTTTGCCCTGTACCTGGGACAGACAGTAACAGGGTTTCGTTTCACCCACTGTGGGAAGAATCAATGGAGAGACAGGTCGCGGAAGAGATTCAGAAGGTCAAAAGCATAGATGTATAGCACCATATAGCAGAGACCAAGCAAAATCGAAATTAGGTCAAGTCGCCATTCGTAGCCGTACACGAAACTGGGAAAACGAGCGTGCGCAAAAAAAACTGGAAGAAATATAAAGGAATGTGTTATTAGTTTTCTGAAGCTGGGTTTGAAATAACTTTGTTCTTGTCTGTGCTCAGTTTTTTTCTGTCGTGCTATCTTAAGTTGATGAAAATTAGCTATTATGGCCTATATACTATCTTCGTCTATGGTGTCTTTTGGCCCGTGCATTGCACAGTACGCAAAACGTGCATCTACCCGATACAAGTGAAGGAAGTGTTATACTAAAAACATGTCCACGGAAATATCATTTCAGGTTAAAAATTAACAAATAGAGATTTGTTTAAATAAAGTATAAAGAGAAAACGATGCACGCGTAGACGCCTACTTAGCTTACATGAATGACGAAATCCCTCGCATTGTCCTTCTGTAATCTAGAAGTTTACGTTAAAAAGTTGTTGACGAACGCACAAAAGATGACCGCTAAGGTTGTATCAATCTAATGCTAACAACAACCCAATACACCTCACTATTACAGGAGATATTGAAGACTAAGCACAGAACTAGATGCGCTTAGCAACATCACATGGATATACCCTGCTCCAAAATGGTGGCCCTGACTGTGACCAGGCGTACGTTTTCCTGTACGCCTGGTCACAGTCAGGGCCCCCCTCCCTTTTCTATATGAAGCTCCCTTATATCTGTGCTGTAGATGCAGATTTTATTTTTATTGTTGTTAAATGTGCGCACCATATGCCATGTCAGCTTGATCCCATCTGAAAGGTTCCACAGTTCTTACCCGCAAAGATTTCGCTGTCGGCATTGGCACCGATGCTACTGAATATGACTGTACAGGGTAGCGACTTTCTGGTACTAAGGTCTTGGCGAGGCCTGGTTCTTGATGCTCTTCCCAAGAATGGCTCGTAATCTTCGCATTGACTGAAGCTGCGTGTCCTTAGGATTGCACTGATGTCTAAGCTTCGTAGTCCCAATTTGGCTTTTTTCCATTATATCACTTGTCACACTCACTCTGCTTATGTTTGTTTGCGCAGATGTCGCTGAGAGCAAAGACGCCTCTTTGTGAAAAAAAGAAAAAATACATTTCTTTAACAGCATAATAACAATGTGGCACATTTGTCAAATGTCTGTCGCCGTTTGAGCTCGAACAACAAACTAATGGCGACTTGATAACATTGACGTTAGTGCGTACGTCATCCTGGGTTCGATACCAAGATGGGACCTAAGAATTGTCAATATGTCGGAGCTTTTAATATCACCTCACCACGCAGTCAGCTCAAACAAGCTGGGTACATATCGCGTAACATAACGATCAATGGCCGTATAGCTCTTCTTTCTTCGTCTGGTTTATACTTTGTAGTTAAATAAACGGATGTTCTATCGTAAACGACAATCGGCCAATTGTTGGCTAAATAGATTACCTGCGTAAGAGAAATCTGTCCACCAAATACCAATTTCTATATATGTAAGGTACGACAACTATGGTCATTATTTTCAAACACACATCTTTAATATGCCAATCTTGATATACAACCCGAATTAATAATATATTTCGGTTTTATTTACGCTTGATTTTTTCGCATCTTTTCTCCGTTATCGTAGTGTTTGAGCTAACATATAATCAAGTAAGACAATTTCGGGACCTTTACAAGCCGGGCTAGGGTTCCCGGTGACGCAAGACCGTTTGCCTGTTCGTACAGTCGACGTATTCTGTGTCGATGCTGCTTACATAGTAATCACACGGGGTGTGCAAAGTCGAAGACGAACGTCCGGAACCTGATGGAACAATGGACCCTGCAGCGACAACACAAATTGATGAGCGCTGTCATAATTCCATTGAAGATCGTAGCTAGATATTAGTAGCGTTGTAAAGAATAAGCGTTTCGCTTATGCGTCCACGGATCGATTACGGCCTATCGAGGCAGTAGCTTGGAGCGATCAGTACGCGACCGAGAGTTCGCTGGAATGGTTTAAACTGGCGATAAAATTAGCCCTGCCTCAATATGGCTGTTCACCTTTGAAAGACGCCAGCACCGAATAGCAAGTTTATTGTCATTTCCAATATGTCTGAGCAAATCTGATCAACAGAACACAACAAATACAAATGAATTAGGAATGGTACGCTGACAGTTAAGCAGCGTTCTATTCGTTATGGGTTAAGAAGGCAAATGCCCATTTCCGCTTCAGCTGGCACAGCTTCGTTAGGAGGCAACACAGAATAGGGTAAAAGGGTCTTGATAAGTTGAAACATCAGAAAAAGTTTTTCGTCCACAACAGAAAAGTTGAGCTTATTCTATACAGAACTTTTCACCACCCCTTATTCGGTTTATTTTTACTTGATTGTTACCGTCGGTTGAGGCAAATTTTTTTTTCTATGTAAATAAATTCCGGCAAAAATTCTTGTAGTGCTTTTTATGTGGCTGCCGTTCACCGCTTTCCTCCTCAAACCTCTGACTTTTCAGGTTTTGAACCAGCTCAATAAAGATAGAATAACATTTTTTCCTTATAATTCGTCAAGATTCCATACAAAGCAGATACGCTGCCTGTTTCAGGAGCCAGTAACGGTATCAAATGTTTAACTTGTTTCGTTTACATTCCCTTGTGTTTATAAAAATTAATTTAAATTTCGTTTTATTCGTATTAGAAAACAGTGTGACTGAAAGTTCAACTTTTCTATTAAACGCAGTTAATACTGGGCAGCTGAATTAGGATCGAGATTAAAATATAGAGCGGAGCCTCTTATAGGTTTGTAGACAAATTGTTGATTAAGGCAGCATTTCTAAGTGATATTTGCCATTTTTTTTTTTCGAAGAAATATCAACTATTATAGGGAAATTGGATATGAGTATTAAAAATATTGACCTCTATTGCTGAGTCGTATTACTTTCTTAAACGTTGACCTTAGGCCAGTAAGGCTGCATATATTCATTTTATTCTATAGACAAATTAAGTAATTGATGAGGTAATAATAGAAACGCACTAATAGACGTCGGAGTTCAGTAAATAGACGCGGTACGTTGTCTACAAAATTTCTCATTTTTTAGCATAGCAACACGGAACCCAACTCACTTTCTGCCATCTTTTTAACCGGCGCCATCGATATCAACAAAGACATCCCAACCTTGCCGCCTCACCCCACTGTTTGACTGAGCTATTCTGCAACGCCATCGGCACTACCCTGGGCTCCTTGATTGACATAAAAAAAACAAAAATGCACGCGAATAATCAGTGTTACCTTGTACCAAAGGCCGAATCAGGCTAGAACATACGACCCAAGCGATGCTTTCTACGATGCAAGCTGCACATATGACACCCTTCAGCTACCAGCAATAGGCGCTAAATGCCTTGAGCCACATTACCTGTTTATAAGTACTAGAATACTATGTGAGCGCAATTATACGGGTACACAATCAACTATCTACGGCCACGAACGTTTCTGACGCTAAAAACTGCCCCCTATTGAGAAATAAGTTTTTACTTATCTGAACTAATTTTCCGAGCGCTTCTAGAATTTTCCCTATTCAAACCTGTCCGCATGCGGCTTACCGGCTTCCAGTTGACTGTGCAGGCAATCGAACACCTAACCTAGGAACCTAAAAGGTGGTAGTGGCATTTAGTAATGCTCTTCGGTACGACAGCATAAAAATCTCCGTTCAGTAATTGACTATATTGAGAAAAAACCGGCAGGCTTACATTGTGCTGGCCTGCTGGAAAAAGGATGCGCACACGACCCGAAGGTTGTTTCTGTTCTTCCCTGTCGGAATTTGGAGCTTCGGAAGGGTTTCCAGCGAGGCCAATTTGCTAGGCCAGTGCGTTTGCCATTGTTTGGTGCCTCCTAAAACTCAAATGTAGATTTTCCAAAAAAGTCACGTTCCGGTTGTCAAAGCAGACGACAAAAATGCACCGGCTCACATAATCGACAGTTCAAAAAGCTGCTTGCTCATTCCAACTGTTATACTACAGACGCTTGTTTGCAGTCTACATACAACGCAATAACCACCGTTAGCGTCATAATTTACCGCTTTAACATTTTCTCTTCTGCTAAGGTAGGACGTTTGTCGGTAGGGACGACCAACAGAACAGACTTCATCAAGCTATATAAGCAATGAAAACAAGCAGACAGAACTTTGTATTAACAAGCAGCTTTTTCCAGCAGTAGCCTTTGCTTCACTGAGAATAATATGGCCGTGACAGTAACACAGGCAAATTGTATAATTAGTAATTAGATCTGAAGTTGATTTAGTTCATGATTACTTTCTTACTTGAACCTGATCAAGTGTTGAACCTGAAAAGACGTTCACGTGTTGTGAAGGGCTATCTTCGGCTAGAGCAAATGTCGACTATGCATTTGGACTCGATTTACGTTCAATTACCAGAAACACACTTCACACTTTTCGAGGTAAATGGATAAACTCGGACTCCGAATTAATGTAACGAAAAAAATTTTATCATATTATTAGGATCCTTGATAATACTGCTATTGCTAAACTTAGTGCTAAGTAAATAGATTTTGAAGACTTGCTGTTTGAAGTGCTTCGTTTGCTGCTCTGCCGTTCTATCTTACTTAAATATACTAAATGGATTCGTGCTAAACCTTATTAGGAAAGTCGAAGCCCTTCCGTGACGTAGCACTACTTTCTTCCTACAAAATAGTGCCCTTTGTATAAATGGATGGGTGTATAGACGCATTAAACCCATTTCTCTTCAGCAGCCAAAAGTGCTAATTGATAACCTGTAGATTTTGGGCACTGTGGGCTCATAGTGTTTTACGACTTGTCAGAAGAATGCTGTATCTTAAGGCCTTCTAAGGATAGTGGAAACGCAAATTCCTCCCCTGGTGTTTAAGGCTAACAAACGTTCGTACTGCTTGGCTCGTTTGCTCTATAGCATGCACAGAAGATAACAAAATTGCCAACAGGCGACGGGCGAACGTAAAAACCGCCTCAGGCATCACCTCACCTGCCTACGTGTCCAACCCAATGAGTTGTCTTTCTCTTCGCGCGTATTACCCTATCCCCCAAATAGCCGACCAACAGGTAAACCTTTGTTGGATTGTTTAGAAATGTAACAAAAAACTCGAACTGGACTGCGATTACCAAGCCCGGGCCCTCGGCCCATGCCTGCGCTACTCAGCTACGGTCATCGTTTCGAGCTAACAGTGGAAAAAGATGAAGAACAATAGATGAACAAAACAGCTATGGTCCAGTATTGACAATTCCAGATTTTCGCAGCATCCGAAGCAGACGACCGTACTTGATTAACCTGTACATAGATATAAAAAGAGAGGTGCCTGAGAGCACTTCCTCTCCGCTAGCAATCCGAAGCAAAAACATACCGACCCCCGGTCGGGTCCACAGCTTGTGTGTTGGTCGTATTATTTGTTGGGCGTTACTATAACGAAGAGTTTGCATAATACCTTTCGACGAGGTCAGATTCGATTTATCTATTTGAGTTAGCACCGTGTTGCCACTCTTACCGTAGCCCAATAACGAATTTATATACAGACGAAAACACCGTTTATATACATATATTTGTGGGCGGCTCTTATCTCTGCGCCAATCAGTTACCGTTAGCCGCCCATCGTTCAATAGCGTTACCGTAGACGTCGCCATAACTGTATCGTCTACTAGAGATGCACGCTCTAGCAAACCCTAGAGCAAACAGCAAGAGCATAGCTGCCCTATTCTTCGGCGCGAATGCTTGAGCAGCAAAATCATTGTGCTACATTGCGTCATAACAGCTGTCAGGATTTATTGCGTGCCGCTGCGTTTCTCACTGTCTAAGGATGGTATCGAGTATTAGGATTAGGGGTACCTAAAAAGTGTCAAAGAACGGGCGAACCAAATGTACCAAAAGATATGGAGACGTCTCGTTGCCTGCTCAAGGCACTTTTGTATAATACTTCACATCGATTTCTTCATGGATACGAAGCTCCATGAATAGATTTGATTTCTTCAGCGTGACATTGGTAATGGCGCCGTGGATGCACACTGTCGACTATGTATATCTTGCCAGAGCAGTAGCAAAATGTTCGAAGGTCAGCTTGTAATAGTGAAACGCATAATTGGAAAACAAATCGCAGTTGTCGGTTAGAAACATGTTTACAATTAGTTCCACAGTTAAAGCAGCATGGGTATTTGTTTAAAAACGTGTTTTCTCGCAATAATAAACTTGCCAACCTACAGATAAAAGCAATTTATATTGTTTATATAATATTGTTTGGGCATCACACTTTTTTTTTGGGCAACACAGCTTTTGTTGCTATATACCAAACAGCCTAATTTCTTGGATTCACGTTATCCTTTTTATGTGTAATATCAATTTTACGATTCATTTGGAGTGCAGTTTGTATATAAAGCATTCTTGGTGTGTATATATATACTTTTACTACATTTCTTTTTTAAGGTTTAGAGGTTGTTTCACAAAATCTATAGAACTACTACTAAATTTAACTAAACAAAAGCTTATACGCATTATATTCTGGGCGATGCTTATAACCGGACCCCATGTTTTCTGCATCTGTTTTTGTTTCTTTTTCAAAGTCACGAACTGCATAAACGGTCTTCTTCCGTCCTTGACTTGTATACCAAGATCTCCCTGAACTCCTCGATGGCACCAAGTTCTTGTCCCACAATCTGAACCAGTGAACTGCACAAGTCATAAAATATGCGTTAGAACCATTTTACGAGCGTCCAAGTCTGGCCGCGAGTTCGCCGCGAATGACAGCAAACAACCAGTCTACTTACACACGAAACCCAAGCTTCGGTATTGACAGCCCTCAGCCGGGGCTAGCGTGAATTCTGTGGAGAAACATCGTTTGCAAACCGATCTTTCTCTTCGCTTTCACTTGTATAGATACTGTAGCCGTACCACACGTTTAGCAGGCGACAGGCAGTGGCATTTTCAAGGGAAGCAACGAGTAGCAAATCAGGGCATAGCGTTGCCACGAACGGTCTAAAGAAGTCAGTTGCACTTCTCTCTCTCTCTCTCTCTCTCTCTCTCTCTCTCTCTCTCTCTCTCTCTCTCTCTCTCTCCTTTAATTTTCGTCTTCTATCGTTGATAAAATTGCGCAAAGGCTGTAACTAATGTACGTGCTATTGTGCCTTTTGTTTCAAACCGCGTTTGTTCGAGAGCCCTGCCTCCCGCGTGCGTGTTTCGGGTTTCAGTTAGCGACCGTCCAACACTTGTCTGACGCCGCTAGGACCTAGCGCTAAAATCTGGCGGTTCGGCCTTCAATGCAGCGTTCGGCACGAACACCACTGACGGAGAATTTAATAGCATGAGCCTTGCTCGCTGATCATTAAGGCGTCACCGGAGGAATCACTGCTGCTGCAGCCACCGTTATGATAGTAGTTTTTGCTGTGTTACTAGTTCTGTTCTTTACTCTTTCTGTTCCTAACTCGTTCGACCACTGAACTGATCGTAAAGTGGGGACTGTGACAATAAGAACTAACAGCTACACTGTATGTTAGTGTTCCAGCGAAGATATGCGTGAACTAGTAAATCGAGTCGTCTCACAATTCTTGCATCTCTATCCGGAAACGTATGGTCGCGAAACTCTTGAAAACTTCCTATAGACAGCGTTGACAGTGGGGCGTTATGGAGCGGGTCCTTAAGCTGGCTGAGTTCGACGTCAGCTGATCCAGTTAGAATGCGGAAGCGACGTAGCTTGGCTCGTTTGCACAGCTAGAATTTACGCTTAAACAGATTGGAATATAAATATTTCGCACCATAGCAACCGATCACGCAGCTGGCGTAGATATTTATGGAAACTGACCCATGTCAGGACAAGGGCACAGATACAGTAGACGCTAATGCTGTGCGTAGGTTCACGCTTATAGCTGTAACATGTCCTGAGGAAGAAAAGGATACGCTTCACTGCTAAGAGTTTCAGTAAAGGCAAGCGATCATAGCAACCAACGCTGTTATTTGTAGTAAAATATACTTTTGTCGGTCAGATCATTAAAACTTACTCAAATTTGTGCAACAATAATTTTCGAGACGTCGAAGCGCGCAGTATTATCGCACATCTAAACCTACACACAATAGATTTGCTTCCAAACAACAACCAATATCATACCTTGTGCTGTTTTCCTCTATACTCTATCTACTATAATCTATACTCTAATCAGCTTTGTAGCTACACACTAGAGACAGTCTGAATTTCTATGTTTTCCTCGTCCGTAAATCCTATTTTTTGCCTAAATTCACTTTTTATTGATGTCCCCTGTATATCGATTTTTGACTCTTTCTGTGTAGACAACATGATTCATTTGGGCTGGTTCTTTTTTAGTTCATCTTGCAATAACAATCAGATACGTATTTTCTATGCACCGTTCGTGCTTTTTTACTTAGCTTCCCAGTGTACATGCAGAGACTGCGTATAACGGTAACACTCGAGTTCCTTCGAGGACGTTTTTATGCCTATTAGGGATCCTATATTCAAACTTTAAGTTATAGCCCCTTCATCTAGTGAGTGGGAATTAGAGGGGGCAGAGGGCTATTGTAGATGCTCCTGGTTTTCACAGATTCATTAAGAGACGCATAATATACTGTGCGGCAGATCCTGCTACTTTATAGGTAGCGTGGTAGCGATCCACTCTCAGCACCTCTAGATCCTTGCGACCAGCATGGCCGATATATCACCTGTCCCCCCGCCTTGCATGAGCCTAGTCCTAGGACTCTTACTATGCTCAGCATATAATAGCCAAACGGCTTAACTCGTTTCATGGCCGGTGCGGCTAAGCAAGACGCCTTCTTATACTGTGCCGGCCTAATCCTGAAAAGGATACGCAGCTCTCGTTAGCCCTGACATTATCCGCTAAGACCGAGAAATCGAATGAGAGTACATAATTAATCGGTCCCGGTATAATTTCTCTAGAAGACGGGCGAAGCAGTAATTCGATTGGCTATTACTAGCTACGCATTAAGCAAATGAACACCCGAAATGATCGCATGCGATAGGTGACTTTTTCTTATTGGCATTTTATATATTTGATTGTATGGCACTGGAGTTCATACTAATAATTAGGACCATATATTTCCAAAAAATATCGTCCGTCTTAATCTGTCAGATTTGAGCATGTTGGATGCGTCCGATGCAATTGAAATTAAGGGTAGTTGGGCTATGGGCAAGCTGAAAAACGCTAGCTACAGTTTGAAATAACCAACATGCACGGCATCTTTCGCAATGGCACGAAATCCTGTGAACGCTTTGAAATCCTGCGCGTGATTGTTAGCTTGGACGACTTCTGAATAATCTATTGCGTATTCGTATATAGCGAGAGCTGAACATAAACTAATTGTTTGTCTGCTTATCCTACCTTTTGACCGCACGTGTTAAGTTAAACAAGCTTTGGCACCTCACTTTTCCCTCCTTTTACTATAGACACTAAAGCACGGGAAAGCTGGTAATCAGATTTGTCCGCGCTGAACGATTAGCAAATAAACGAACCTAAAAGCAATTTCCCATTATTTTTTAGCCACTACTAAATAACATTAAGTGGTACAATACTTGACAATGTTAATGGTAGTGAATAAGAAATCTTTTACTGTGTCAGCGAGTTTTAGGTGTCGTCATATTTTACTAAGCAAGGATTGCCCGGCATGTAATACGTTTGACCTACGTAAACAAAATAGAGACGACAACCTCATTAATCGTTTATGCTGGGTTATAACCACTGATGGTTTTAATTAGCGTATGCTGCGTCCTATTAGAATCAAGTGCGAATAAGTAAATATGTCGGTTGTAGGGTCCCATGTAGTATTAACTCACAAGTTTTGTTGTACGTAATGCTATATAATAGAATACTTAGATATGCACCGACGTCCTACATTTGTTTGAATGATAGTGAACCCGGTATACTTTCCTGCTTTGTTACGCTCCCGCCACTGCCCTATATCCTCGTTACATTGGCACCAAACTAGTTCCAACCATCCGCTCGCAGGTAGCTTTCGCTCGGACTCGCTCTGCCGTTGCTGCCGCCTAGAGCCACTTATCGAGTAACCCATCTAATATCATGATGTAACCTTTAATTCGATTAAATATTATATGAGTGATATAAAGGCCCATGATCAGCCTATCGAGATCGTCGTTCGGCCATAATGTCGTCCACAGGATCTTACATATGTAGGAAGCATTGCAGTGTCTTGAAGGTTCCATGACGAGCCTGATCTTGCCTTGCGGTAGGCCGTCTTTGCCGCGGTGTCGTGGCGCTTCGATCGATGCTGCCTCATAAATATGCTCATGTTTCTAATAATTAGCGGAAATTTTTGCTGATCGTTCCGCTAGCAACAAAAGCAGCGGCAGGCCCATCAATTTGTCTGGTGAGGCCAACTATCTGCCATGAGCTTTGTCAAGACTGATTGGATACGTGCTACTTCTTTTGCGACTGGGTGCGTGGCCGCTAAGCTCCGACCAGCCTGGACCTTCGGGTACTTGGGATCTCAGAATCTATTTTCGGATGTATTTTTTTTCTTTTTCTGGCACGCTGTTTGGAAACTGAAGATCCCTCCGTTGCGAGCAGGTAACATCCCGAACATGACGCAGGCCGATGAACGTCAGATAAATCAGTTGGATGAACGTCAAATAAATCAGTTAGATGAACGTTAAGGGTCAATAGCAGTAGAACGGGCTCTTCAAAAAGAGGTAAAGCTTCTCGTTGTTAGCTGCGATGCTCGTTCTGAACTACCAGCAAGTCGATGATTGTAATTGGAGTACTTAATGATGAACGAAATACACAACCTTAGCTTCGATTGTCGTCGCTCGAGGATAAACCGTGACCCTTTCTTTCTTAATCGTCTAACTAATTCCGTGTTTCATACGTTAACCTCTGCTGCTATATCCTAGATGCGCTATCATGCTGCTCTACGTGTTTGAACAGCTGCCTACACTCATCCCCACCATAGTATATTGCTCCGAGATTCATTAATCTTGATTTACATCCATCTGGGCACGGCACGATTCGAGAGGAGAGCCTATTACAGACGCCTTTGCCTCTGTCGAAGGCAATGGTCGCCTCTGTTACCGGCACGACTGCCGCCGCGACTATCCGTCACTAGCATAACGTCATGTGCCCTAACGTCCGTTGTTCATTGTTACTCAAGTGTATCTCTTCGTGTCAGCCAGGGCAGTTAAAGCCAATACTGCCAACAGGCAAAGATTGAGGAACGGTAACGGTGATCGTACCTTCGTTGCCGTCGGGAGAGACGGCTGGATGCTCCTGAAGCTAGCACACACAGCAGTCTGCACGGATTCTGGCACCGTCGTCGATTACCACACGATTAGCAGACACCACCGCATATTATTCAGCGATCAGGTTGTCTGCTATTTTAATATTTTGGCATGTGAGCAAAATGGTGGGTAAATGTAGAGAGAGGGAACAAGAAAGAGTAAAAAGAGGGAGAGAGAGGCAGGCAGTTAGCGAATTTGAAAACATCTGTTCGCGGCAGAAAGCAAGTATAGCATGAAGGGCTACTTAGCTTGCTGATGATCGACAACGCGTGCCTTCACCGTCTTTGCTGGTATCTCCATCTCGATGAGCACGGATGAATCAGATAAATGGTGAGAGTGACTGGCAATATAGGGAGGAGGAGAGGGGGGGGGCTAGTTAAGCGTGGTTAATATTTCATAATACATGATCGGCATCGAATATCGCAGCTGTGTATTCCGATTTGACCAAACCAAGCCATAGGTAGGCCGAAAAAGTTTATCCGTGTCGCAGACAAGTAGAAACTTCGCCAAGCAGACACAGCAAGTTCTAGCAAACCGATCCAGGTGGCGCTATTCCTGGTAGCTCTTCGTAATCTAAAAAAAGATACCCATTAAGGCAGAATGATGATTAGTAATTTGTTAATGACTTTTACCGTGATCCTGCTTGCCTTTTGCGCGGCAAATCATTCTGTGCCAGAATGTTTATTCAACAATAGGACCATAAGGCTAAGTGGGTATCAATACGATACGTGCAGGATAATTTGTTGTAGTAAGTTGGTAAAATATCGGACGTGGAAGGTCTTGTTTGTGGTAAACAAAAAAAAAGTTTAGTAAATTAATTAAAGATAACATCCTCAGGAATGATTAGAGCGTTTGTATGCTACCGTTCATGAGGTCATTAAACTAAATCAGCATGTGTAGATACACAAAGTATGGTTCAAAGTATGAAATGTTTTTTTTTTTAATTATGGATGTCTTGCGAGTCGCAAGATCACCAGCAATTCATAAAATTAAAAAGCGCGCTTGTGGTTAGGCGCTTTATGTAGCCACAGTATAAGAATACTATGTAGTAATGATTAATGGCTTTGGTCGTTTTAAGAAAGGAAGAATAGTGTTCTTTTTTCATAAAAATGCTCTTTTTGCTTCTATGTGTTTCCAGTTTACTATTATTCATTGAGATACAATAGAAGCGAGGCCTTGTACAACGTTCACGCCCGGGTCTAATGATATTGCTCCCGTGATAGCTTAGTGGGTAACGTATTTGCCACCTAATTTGTTTAGATTTGATCCTGGGCATAGCCACAGCTCATTTCACGCTGGGGGCCAGTTGCCAGATGGGATGCCCAACAGTGAGACCGGACGTAACATTCGGAATTTGATTCAAAGAATAACGATTTGATGTAATTAATGATACTTCCGGTTTTACGTGGAATCAAATGACGAATGTACTAAATAATCGTGTACGCTTTCCTTCACAGTGGCCAAATCTGGGACCAACAGAATAATTTCTCGGTGATGAGCAGCTAAGGTAACAAGCTATATACTGGGTATAAGCTAAGGTAATAATGTATATACTGGGTTTGTTTTATTGACAGCGTAGTGGGAACTATGGCTCCACCTCACGTAGAGGCCCCATTCAAAGTGCATTTCAAATTTCATTGTACGAAACTATATTTCCAAAGCCACTTCCACCATTCAGAAAAAAATTCCCAAAAAAAAAAGCGAAAATACGTTTAATAGACAAAATACATACTTGTTTCGTACATCATAAGGCTTAAGAAAGTACGCACATCTTTTTTACTTGTGAGGTTTGATAATGCAAATCTGCAGAGATCGTTGTGCCGACAATGTGGATAGAACGTGTCGAGTTTTGCCCAAACATCTGCCTCGGTCATTTCTAATATTTAGTCAACTGTTCAATCGCGCCGTTTCATCACCGCGATGGCAATGCTTGCAGTTATACAGTTTTCAAAACTGCTTTTTGATAATCCTTCTCAAAGTTGTAGAACTACTGTTACCTCCGAAAGAAAAAATTATTAATTTGCGAACGGCTACCCGATGGTAGACTGCTGCAGATCGTCGGCTCAGCAGACCGCCATGATGGACTTCTCGTTGCAGCACATTGGCCTCGTGGCATTGTCTACCATTATGATGAATGTGAGGCCACGATGAATGTGGAGAGAACGGGCATCTGAGCAGCTCTTGATGACCTAAGAACCACAAGTTCGCATTAATTGATAAAGGACTGTCAAAGCTCTTTCAGTTCCAACAGCGCTCGGCAGATTCCTGTAAAAGTAAACGCCTAAGCTAGTAAAATCCTCGACATACGATGTCGTGTATAATGCACCACAGTACATAGATAGGAATTCAGCGAAAAAAGGTAGATGAAACAAGTATCTTGGGTTCGGGAAGGTCATGAAAGTTCCCAGCTAAATGAAGTGCTTCTTATACGAGTAGCGTATAACAGCGTTCAAATGCATCTGAGAGAGAATGCTGCCTTTTATATAATGAAGAGCTTACTGTAACGGTCATTGTAGAATAAGATGATTTATAATAAGAAACAAACCTGCTTAACCCTTGGGTTTGTTTCTCATCCTCGATCTAGACAAAAAAAAAGTAAATGTATTTGAAAATACGAGAGAAACATGGATGCACCGGTTTGCGAATGATTCTTTTAGGGCAAAAAATAACCGTAGAAATAAGGCATATATGCCGAAAACCCAAAGTTCGCCGAGTTGTATTACAGCACAATGATACTAACAGAAGCCCAAACCCCCTAGAAGAAAATATTGGGTCGAAAGGTTGAATTCAAGTCGAACGTCAAGTGAGATGGCCTGGCCACCTGCCACTCCTGAAAGGAAACCAGCTACTCGCCACAATACGAACCCTTAAGTAAGGGACCGCGGCAGGAGGAACCTTTGAGGGTGGAAGACGAAGCCGCAGTTGAAGAGAGTCTAGCCTAGTTCACTAGCTAGCCATTGCTAGCATCGTCTTCTCCTGCACGACGTGCCTTAGCGGCCGCTGTTATGTGTAAAAACGGCTGAAGACTGGCATAGAATCATGAGGGAGGCGCATTTTTGTGCCATTTTTACGCACAGCTTTCGTTCGCCCGTCCGTCCGTCCGTCCGTTTAGAAAGAAGAAGAGAGGACGCCGTAGAGAGTCAGAGCGGGGAACCTAAATACAACCTACAGAATACGGCCGCCAACGGTTTTGGCCGTTGCGCCTGCTACCTCTTTCGGACTAGTAGAAAGATGGAAAAAAAATGTACTTCATTTACCTCTTTCGTAGGAGATACACGGCGCTACAGCGACTTTATAGCGGATGGAAGGCGAGGGCCTCTTGAGAAGTTCGCTTTCAGTTTTTTTGCCTACATTGCCCGCCAACTACAACAAGCGCGACCGCTTTATACGCGGTATTATTTGCGAAAGTATTATCCCCTTAGGTAACATAAAATGTGCACAGAGTTTGTTTACCTCTAGTTCTATTCTTTGATGACGTGATAACTGTTTGGTTAAACGCGAACGAGAAAGCACGCCCCAAATAAACTTTATAGGCGACTACTAATTGCTTGCGTCTTAGAGGATTATTGTAAAAAGATTACAATTAGATTTTTCAGTAACGAAATAAGTTTATAAAAACATCGACAACTTAGATTTTATTCTATGTTAATAGACACTTGCTAATGCCATCATTAGCTATTTAATTCATACCATACAATCAACTCAGTCCCCCTGCGTCCTCGTTCACTTATTTAAGGCGTGCTCTTTCTGATGTCTACACTCCTTGCTAGCATCGTTCCGACGCTTGGCGCGAAGTGTGCTATGAGTTAGGGTTACCATACGCAAGTCGGCTTCGTGTTATAAGGACGGGACATGACAAATCAACAGTGTTCGTTCATCCTTTCACTCATCCACTTAGGCAGAACTGTTCCTGAGCATCTACGGAGCACGAGTCATATCGGTAAGGATACGAGTATCATTATTCTATTGCCGCAACACTATTTTGTGAACTGCAGTTACCTGTTAAAAGCAACATCTCTCCATCGCGCTGTCTTGGCCCTCTTCCTATCTCGCGGATGTTCTAGCGTATCGGTTGCATTTCATGTAATGGATTTAAGGCCAGTTAGAATTGACGCACGACCCGAACTATGAAGGGTATTTTGTGAATTCTATATAGGTATGTTCTGACTATACTACCGTACTTCCAGGCGTTGTAGTTGAAAGAAAGCGTACATTATGGTTGAGGTATAAAGTCGATTTGCTAACGATCCCACGAAACTTATAAGGTAAGAAGCTGTTTAGCCCGCGCGTAATTTTTCAGACCTATTAGCTAAACGAGAAATTGATTCTGATTTTTATCGAATAATTTTCGGTGTAGAGAAAATATGTTCTGTCTTCTAACGCTGTTAAGTCTCAAAACTGTGCCATTTTAGCAAAACCTAAGAACATTCACGAAAACTCACTGAAACGTATCTTTAGCTGTACCCGAGTTATCGATAAATGATTGGTGGTTTTATAAAAACGTGGCCGTAGAACGAAGCGGAATACACAGTGTCTTCGCTGCCCGTGTCCCCCTCAAAAAATAGACTCCTCCTAAGGCAAAACGGGAACTGAGTTGATGAATCGGGACACTGACTTCGCCAATAGCGGCCGTACCCGATTTGCGCCGCTCTTCGCAGTAAAGAGACAGCAATACGAAGGAAGACATATCCGTACGCAACCGCGCAGCCGCTTTTCAGCCAAGCGCTGATTTGGCTTTTGTAGGGTGCCAATAAACTTCACACGATCGAGACGGCTGCCCACAGCACTACTGTGGAGAAAAAAGGAAGGAGGGCTAACTCTATCCCCCGTCTCGTTCCAAATGCCTCAACGCTACACGACTTACCGGCGTCGCTGCTGTTGTCGTGACAAAATTGGTGGCCGTATCAGCGGCGACTGGTGGAGCAATGACGGCCTTAGTGGTGGCAGTTGCTCATTTGACTTGGTCGAAGTAGGGGGTCCGTTTCATAGACCGACGAAACGATGCCGATATGAAAGCACTTTT